ATGTTTCCCTGATTGTATTTTAAGAACAAAACTGAAGTTTTCTAATTCAAGTTTCATTTCAGTAATTAAGTAAAATTATAAAGTTTATTTATTAATTATAGATCCAAGAATACAATAAACTTGTCTTAATCCTTCTATAAACACTGTATTTTTAAAATCAATCATGTTGTTTTAACAAATTGATTCTGGACAGTTCTGTGATCCTGTAAAAAGTGTTTTGAGAGATAATTACACCTTGAGTAGATCTGAAAAGCTTCTTCTTAGGTTTGATATTTACACTATATTCTACACTTAACAATTTTCTTAGGTCCTTCTTGTTACACAAAAAATCCAAATGGGATCAAGCATGAAACAAATGACACTTGTGACTGGGATATGAGTATACTGTGATATGATTAATTAAAATAAAGTACTAGGAAACCAGAAATTCTTATATCAGGGACAGTGATACCTGCAGGTAGATATCTTAATTAGTTAATAAGGTGTACTGTACATATTGAATGGCAATATAACTTATGTTAGTCACAACTAAGGTCTGTAATATAAAGCAGATGTATAGTTCCAAACAAATATGATTAAAGTTATAAAACATGAAGGTATCTCTTATTTCCCGGGAAATACCAGTAATTCCTGGGAATTACCAGTATTTCCCACTGTCCTGGTAAATATGAGTATTTCCCACTTTTTTGCCAACCCTGTTAAAACGCCAAGTAAAAGTCAAACCAATATAGTTAAAAAATCACATCTTGGAAATAAGAAGTGTAGATCTGTTCATTAGTGACGTAGTGTGAGTATTGGTCTACTTTAATACATGTATAATAACATTTAAGGAGGCTGGGGGTCAACAAATTAACCATTAATTAACCACCAGATTTAACTTAATTTTTTAGATATGATATCTTAAGCTGTCAACTATCATTTGGCAAAGAAAAATTTCAAAAATTTTAGTTTTAAAATTTGATCATTTTCTATATCTTCATATGGAGCTCTTCTTCTAAAGGAGATCAATATAGTCTAAAAATGGCCACAACCCCCCAGCCTCTTTAAAGTGCATCTATCCAGGCTTAAAATAATATGTTTGATGTCAATTTTATACACTGAATTCCTTTCCATTTCTTATTCATAAATTTCTGCTCGTACAGTTGAGTTTGTACTTGCATATAAGCTAGGCTTATCATATTTGGCAGATAGGTGAAATATAATATAAGATAATGTGTCACATACCATACAGACCCACATATGACTTTGCCCTTAAGGTCAAATTACAATATTTTTGTATGTCTTTTTACACCACAAGGAACCCATGGGAAGCCCAAGTGAACATGATATGGTTATAATTTACATGCTTAACTACATTAAATGAGCATCTATCCATGTTTAAAATGGCATTTGATGAAAATTTATTGTTTTGAATTCCATTTTCTGTTCATTGAGTGACTGAGAACTAATCTACCCACTTAATTTATGTGCAAATTGACTAAAAGAAACTGATTAATATGATTTGACTATTTTAAATTATTTTACAAACTATCAGTTCTCAAAAATTTACGTTTAAATACTTAATTAAAATAAAATAATAATGCTGAGTAACATATTTTACCTATCTTAAACCTGACTGAATAACGATCCCAACCCAAAAATGAACTGAACCGAACGTGGATGGAGATTTTGCATCGTGTATCAAACCAAGTAAAAATACCATGAATACCACGGTTAATCGATACTGCGGTGAACCGTTTCACTCCTGGGCATTTGGTCAACAGCAAATCAATCATAGAAACATTATTTATGAGCATAATGAGATGGAAAGACTATGGCCTAACTAGCATAGGGGTGAATCAAATTGCCACTCTGCCACACCCTCGGTCATCTTAATAGGCATTAGCAAATCGTAATGCAATGTACAAAACTAGATTTACAAATCACTAATTGACACATTGCAAGTCTTAAAATTACAAGTGCCGCATTAACAATTCTTGCATTAGATTATACATTTTAAATAGTTGCAATAAGATTCTGACATTTCCTCACCATTATTTTGAGAGTCTGAATGACCAAGAACAAGAGCATTCCATTTTAGATTTTTTTATTGCAAAAGTGTAATGTCAATACTCATTTTGGTGGAATTTTAGAGGCAAAGACGTAATCCTTTATGTTTTCCTAGTTTTAGTTTTGCAATGATACTCTATTCTCCAAATAAACCTGTAATTGTACAGATCTCTGAACAAAGCAAGGTTGAAGGTTTCTTTTTAAAATAATTTATTGACTCTAAGTCTAGGTGTTGAAGCACTGGTATCCTAAATGCAGTCAAATCAAACTAATTTCAATTTACATGCTTAAAGAAGCATTAGGTTAATTTCTAGCAAATCACATATTACAGAGTTTCATTTCTATGTTAATACAAATTGTACATTATTGCTGTATGTCGATTTCTCTATGTTGCTATAAGCAATGTGAGAATAAACTGAATTGAAAATTGAACAGACTTTATTTACTGCACATATCACCATGATCACTCAATAGCTTTCTAATCAATGGCCTGTTACTCTTTTAAAAGCCATAATACAGAGTTTGAAATTAACAGTCGCCCACTCGCAATTTGCGACTAATGTTCCATGTGGGCGACTTAAAATTACGTTCAAGTTGCCCACATAGCATAAGAAAATTTACGATGATAAATATTTGTTTTTCAATTTTGTCTGAATGTTTTGTATTTTTCTCTTGAAAAATTTCGTAATCAGTAAAGTGCTTTATAATTATCCGTAAGAAGTACTTATACATAAAGCGTCTAAGTGATTGTGTTGGGCACAATGTGGCATCGACAGGTTATTGAGCCCAAGAAACCAAAAAGTACTGTTGTTTTTTGTGAATGAAAACGTGCCATGTGCTCTATTTATGATATTGAATGATCATATCAATCTTCATAAACAGAAGAGTTCCACTTCAAATTTAGATAAGTTGTGCGTAATGTTACAACGGATAGAAAAGAAACACGAAGCACATGATAAAAAAAAAAAATGGAAAATGGGGTTTTTGTTTTTATATTCAGTAGAAGGTGTTATAATCTGTGGGCGAATAAATTTTGATGTGGGCCCCAGAATGCAAGGTTCAGTAGCCCACATGGCTATCAAGGATTACAGGTTAGTTTAAAACCCTGATAATACATGTATTACTATTAGTTTCTTACGTATGTTGTTTGTATCATTAATTATTACATCGTGAAGAACCGAAACCCTCTAAGAACCACTATTATTCAACTTCTTGTATTCATAGAAGGACGCCTTACTTTAACTCCCAAGTTAATCGTTCATTAATTTAGGCAAAATATTTCAAAGCATAAAATTGATTTTCTTTGCGTAACAGCATAATTTTATGGTAAAAATCAGAAGAATTACAACAAAAGCGGAATGGTAGGCAGCTTTACGTGTTTATTTTGCGAAAAGAGCAACTGAAACTGGGAGAAAAAAGCAGTAATTTTTGACAGGGGAAAGGGGTAAGGGCTGACATTCAGACCTAAATTGGGTTTAGAAAAATCACTGCATGGTGCATATGAAGTGGGAACCCTAGTTAGCAGTAATCTGTGGATTTTATTTATCCTGTTCCCAAGATAAAATATTACAAATTTCAAGGGAAGAAGGAGACTTCCATAACATAGGATACTTTGTGCCAAATTTGGCTGAAAGTACTCAGCATTTCTTGAGTCAAAGATGAAGATGCAAAATTTTTAGGTCATATATACATTTAAATATATATAATATATATAAACTGATACAGAGAGCAAGACAGATGCAGAAAACAGTAGTTGGACAGAAAAGCACAACTTAGCCCGTGGCATTTAAATGACTCAATAATTGAGCTAAAAACACCTAAATTCTTTTGTAAAATAATGCCCATTTTTTTTTAGAAAAGAAACAATAATAGGCTATACCCTCAGAATACACGAGTCAAAAAAAATTCATACCTCTTCAGTAAGATCTTCTCCATTGGCTTCAGACCACTTGCTATTTCTTCATTCATGGTTTCTTCCCAGTTTTGACGGTTTTCATAACTAGCACACAGAAGTTTAGAAACTTCACTACTTCGCCGTTTGTTAAAAAGGATAATTCTAGTCATAGCTGCTCCAGCTAACTTTTTCCAGAGAGTAGCATTTTCTCCTTCCTTTTCCAAATCTTTTGTCAATTCACTTATTTGTTCATCCAGGTGGTTTTTTAATAATACAAGGTCACTGGTTACAGGGAGTGCCAAAGGCTTATTAAATTTATTTGTCTGCAGAGTAGCTAAAGCTACAGATGATACTGCAGGTGCCCAGTCTGAGCTATGAATTTCCAAATATCCATCACATTCTTTCTTCATTGTTTCATCCATTTTTCTTATGGCATTGCCTCTTCTGATTTCTGCAACCTTCACTAAATTATGTCCAAGATTTAACGCCAGAGATGGAGTAGAAAATACAGATATTTTCTGCTCATTCTGATGGTAACCAGCCAAGTCTTGGACTGCTTTAACAACTGTATCAAAGTGCTTTGGAGTGATATAACAATGTAGATCATTCTCTTTATTCAACAACTCATTTATTTTGGTTTTTAATCGGGCCAGTTGTCTCATTCTTTGTGAAACATAGTTTGTTCTTCTGGGTCCCAACTGCTTTATTAGCACTTGTCCAAACTGTATGATTAATGGGTCATCAACAAGAGCACTGTACACCTCGTCTTGGCGCATTTTTAACAAAACAGTTTCTTTCAGTTCTTCTGATACACAGACTCTGAAATCTTCCTTTTCTGCACAGAAGTCTATACCCCCTGCAAGTAAAAGCCTGGATCTTGCGATGATGCCTCGTTGGTCTTTTAATTTGGTGTTCTTAAAAGAGCATTTTCCTGTATGCCTCCACAGTTCCTTTTTAGAGAAAAATCCATAACAATGAATGCATGGTAAGTAATCCAATGATGTCAGGGTTTCTTTGCTTGGTCTTCTGCACACTATTAAATCTCCACTTCCTTCCTTGAGCACTTCTATGTTGTATTTAAAATTTCCTAGATTTTTAAGTTTATCAAACAACCTGTCTCTTTCACGCTTTGAATTTTTGGCACAGGCCTGAGCAACCATAAGTTCATGTTTGTGCCCATTTTCTAGATGCTTCTGAATCCTGTGGTTGAACACTTTACCACAAAAATAACAGCATAGCTTTTTGTTATATGGTCTCCTCCCATTGATTTTCCGAATTCTTTTGACTTTGACTGCAAGAAGAAAAGATAAAAATTCAATGCATAATTTACTTTTGCAATTGTCCACATTTAATAAAAACACCAAGTAGTGAAATTACTTTTGCAAGGATTTAATTTTTGGCACTTTTTGTGAAGGTATAAGATTCATCATCAATGTTTTATATCACTGTAAATAAACCTATTTCCTGAACCTCTTTGATTTTTGCATATAACTTTGATGGTCACATTTGCATAAATTGGGAAAATAACTGTGAAGAAAGGCACTTTTTCTAATCAAGAATGGGTCCAAATTTTGGACTTAAATACTTCATATCACTATTACTTAACTTAGTGGAACTTTTGTGCACTGAAGGTAGGAACTGTCCTTTAGATGGGGACAGTATGCTGTTGCATACACAGCAAGATTTAGTGACTGTAGATATTCAAGGATACAAGAAAAAAGTCCTGGTGAAATATCTTGCTTAACATTCAGTGAACCATGCTATTAAAATTCAAGAGGAGCTAGTCCTCTGTATTACATTTTAGTTGACACTTTTCTCTAAGCCAAATCAAATTCAATCAAATTCTATCATTTCTTTGTGATAATCATCACTTTTGCAGCTGTTTTGGAAGTCGATAAAATACTAAACATTCAAAATTAGACTACCTACTATCTGAAGTGCACCCTGGGCAAATACATTGTTCTTTCAGCATATTTATTGTTCGAATCTGTTTATCGTCAATAGCCTAAACAATTTTATGCCTCAGAAATCTCATGAGATTAAGAGCAGCAGTAAGTTATAGATAAGTGGGAGTTATCACGACACTATGTATTGGATGGATTGACAGGCCTAATTTTTGTGATCTTGCATGCAGCCATTCCAGATAAAAGTCATTTTTTATCAACTTATCAGAAGACATGGCAGCTAAGTAAAATTCTTTTCAATCCAAAAAATAACAACACTTCATAGAACCTCTTTAGGAACATTCATGCCAACTTTAGTGACCTGGCATGCAGCAATTCTAGAAATTTTCAAATGTATAATTTAAATAATAAAGGACCCCGACAATGAGAGATGATGGTTGTCAAGTGATGTCAATAACTGACAATGGTCTTTGACGAAATAAGCTAAAAATCTAAATACATGTATTTTTTCCAAATCTTGTTAAAATGTCAATATATTCTTTTTTAACTCCAAACATATGATATAAAAAGCATACCTTTATTGTTCACTAAACGATGAAAGGGCTTTCCTGAAATGTATAATGTAAATAAATAAATATGCAATGACAAGGTAACAGAACGAGAGAACAACAAACCATTGCTAAGTTGAAAAGTGGACAATATAATTGACTGATATGCTCTTATACCAAAAGGACAACATACTGACATATTCAAAGGCCTTGATGTATTGACATTTTGATAGATCCACCTACTGAAGGACTAGTTAACTATTGTAACATGAGCAAAGACATTGAAAATATGTTAAATTTCACATCTTTGCTAGCCAAGGGTTTCGGATACGCTACTCTCCTCATAAGCCCTTGGCATAAAGTGTTAAAAAAAATTGGGATTTTTTTCTCAAGTTGTGATTGGAGTTGATCGACATCGCTCGACCAATCAGCAATTGTTTTTTGAAAATGATGATATTTACATTTGGGATATATCTTGTCTCTTCAATATCGGGAATGAAAAACTCAAGTAAATAACGATCCATCAGATAACATGCCATTCTATGAATAGCTATATAGTGTCACCCAATATCTTAGCTACGTGCAAAATATGTGATTAAGAATCAATACTGAAGATGTAGATTAGCATTTTAATTTGTTTAAATAGCAAATTAACATAACTCAATACCTTCTTGTTAATTCTTCTTTAAAAGCATTATTTTTTTAAATACACTTTTTATTTCTGTCAATGACGCAATCTGCGTACCTGGTAAGAATCGCGATCACCAGTCTTTTGTCAGCACCGTATGCCAAGGGTTCATGAGGAGAGTAGCATATCTGAAACTCTTGGCTAGCGAAGATGTAAATTTCAATGCAAATGCAAACATTCATTTAATCATTGAAAGGTTATTTTTTTACTAATCTGCATTACCCACAAACAAACTGAACTAGTAAACTGACAAAGTCACCCAGGGCCCTGCAGTAAGTGCAGATTAATAATTTCAGCTTTTGACTTGACCTCTGACCCATGATCACAAAACTATGTGTCTTCTTTTAATCTTCCTCTATCTTTGCAGTGAATATAAGTCCAATGGTTGACAAGTACTTGTCTAATGAGTAAACATGTCAAATACTGTAAAATCACATATTTTTGGGAGGCAAATTTTTGAAGTTTGAGAAAAAATAATTAATATGTGGGGATTTGATTTCATGGCTGGAGAAGTGTTGAGTAATAATGCATATTAAATTTTACATTTCGTAGTGGTCATGAATTTGTGGGTCTCTCCATACCTTGAAAACAACAAAAATTAAATCCCCGTGAAAATTAGTGATTTCATAGTAAGCATTTTAAAAAACTGACATATAACTTGACACTGATTTAGTGACCCTGAAATTTATATGTTCTTCCTTATTTTCACCATACTCTATGCATGCAGTGAATATGAAGTTTGGTTGAAAAAAACATAAGTTAACATATCACAGAAGTTTTGACAGGCATATTAACAAATACACAATACAAGTTTTGACCTTGATTACTGATCTTAGTCTTCCTTTTACCATCTTCTACCTATTAAGTGAATACAAAGTCAGTTGCTCAAAAGGTACTCATTATCATGTCTCATAAGTGTTGACAGACACATCAATAATCTAGATATTAGAACTTGACCTCTAACCTAGTGACTCCATATCTCTATAGGTGTCTTTAACAACTTTCTATCTATGTAGTGATCACAAAGTTAACAGAATACAATGTACTTGACTTATATTGTCACACAAAAATATTTTTGCAGGCATATCTAGGATCTTGACTTTAGATCTTGACCTTTGACCTAACAACCTTATAATCTATGTTTTATCCTTTACCCATTTTCTATCTGTAATGAACACGAAGTCAATTGGTTGAAAGCTACTCCAGTTATTGTTTCAAGTGAGTGCTGAGTGATGTGGAAATCTTGATTATTGGCCTTGTGACCCCAAAATATAATGATGACTGCCTTTCATGGTGGGAAGGAGACATAATCATATCAAACTACTACAGTAACTGTAATAAACAGACACATACCAGCATCAGCCAAGTCCTCAACATCCGAAAATGCAGCATCTGAGTCCTCCTTAAACATTAAAAATACACAATTACTATAGTTACTGCAGCTAAAACATAACCGAAATGAAAGATCCAATTTATATAATACAAGAATATAAGTAACATATTAATTTTACTGATTTCTTTTTCTATCATTATTTATTTAAGAAATAAGGTATCATTTTTAAACATCTATCGGGATATAAATACGGGTTGGTCACGAGATCAAATTCCATAAAGCCCGAAGGGCTTTATGGTAAATTTGATCTCGTACCAACCTGTATTTATAGCCTGATAGATGTTTTAAAATGATACCTTATTACTTATATTTACATTTGTGACTTATTCATATTTTATATTTGCTTGATTATAATCTTTAACGCGTGAAATGTTTTATTTTTCAAACCTAACGGCATGTTTGATCCACTGATTGCGCATTGACCCTTTATGACGTCACTGAGAAATTACGTCGAACGTTTATGACGCGAGGAACCCGTGTTTATACGGATATAGATACGTGTTGCTTTTAATAGTGTTATATAAAAGAAAACATTTGCAAATGTAAATATTTAATAATAACTTCAACATAATTTTGGTATATAACGTCTTTCTACCGTAATATACACATGTATAAAAAAGCTTAATCTAACTGTTCCTAGAAAGACCACATCAACAAGGAACTCTAAACTGTTTACCTTGGTATAGATAAGTTCATTTCCACATGCTCTCACAAACTGACCAGTAATGGGACATAATATATAACTGTCAGATTCCTAAAAATTATGAATTAAAATTTAGATACACTACATATAAAGGTATATAGAATACTGTTTTAATTTTTTTTTTCCAAGTATGACAGTATTATACACGTTTTGAAGAAGCCAACAATGGAAATCCTGTACAGACAATTACTATTTGACCATTCTTATTATGCAAATGGAAATTAGTATTTTATTGACATTCACAACAATTTAACAATTATCCCTAGTATATAGCAATTGGAATGACAGAAGGATGTATTTCTTTTTACAACAAAAATATGAGTGTAACATGAGTAAAGGTGGAAGGTTAAGGTCATCTAACTTAAGTATGATCAAAGAAATTTTGCCAGAATGCCACTGTGTATAAGTTACTTACAAACATAACTCATGGTGTTTGAAAAAATGATGAAATTTATATACTCTGACAAAGTGATTCATAAACCATGAACATGCATATATACTTAAGTCATCATATGTATGCAAAACAGTGAACAGCAAACAGAATCATAAATGTATACAGTCCCTGAAATGTTCTACTTTCCCATTTTTCCGTTCGCTCACCGTTCGTTCAGCGTGCGTTCACCGTTCGTTCACCGTGCGTTCACCGTTCGCTCTCCGTTCACAGTTTTGCGTTCACCGTTCACCGTGCGCTCGCGTTCACCGTTCACAAAGCGTTCAGCGTTCGCTCTTCGTTCCGTTTACTTTGCGTTCACCTTGCGTTCAGCGTTCACCTATCGTTCAGTTGTCATTGCCATTCGGAACTCCCAAGTGAAAGGACTTATCTTTTTGTAGGTAAGGAGTTACAGATTTTTTAATTTAATACTAACATATCGTGTTTGAAGAATCATTATTTCATGGGGGAAAAATCTAAGATATATATTTTTTATTATTCTAACTTAGCTATTAGGTTATTTATTAAATTACTCTGGAAAAAAATGTTGTTACATGTATAAGCACATCCTGTACCTATGTAGAACGATGCTGAAATATTAAATTTAACTAAGGCCAATGTGCAAATACTTCAAGTACTGCAACATTTTGATGTTTTGTTAAAGACGACAAATCGTTAATGGAGATATAATTATCCAAGTCAAATAATTACGCAGCAAAATTACGAAAATATTTATTTCTAACGCGTTTTTTTTTTAATTCAATTACTACAGAAAATATGATAGAACTAGTCCTGAGAGTTATACATAGTACTGCGGATATCCTGTTAATTTATTATCTTTGGAGCGAATTAAATTGATAGTGTGTTTAAAGGAAATATTTATTTAAAATGTAATGCACTACAGAATATTCGCTACTATAATACATGTATGTAAAGTCTATAGTTATAGAGAAAAAAATCTTTCTTCACCGTAACTTTATATGTTTGCTATTCGATATAATTAATACCCCCCCTTTTCCCCTAAATCGGTTACTTAGTCAGTACTGTATTTCCATAAAATTTTAATTAACCTGTTAAGTTAAGGTCTTTTTTAGAACAAAAATTTCAGTCTCAAAACAAACATGCATCTAAAAAAGTCACAATACAATTATAGTAGTTCAAAATGTACACGTGTCGGCGGTGGTATTTGAAATTGGCATAGAGTATGTTTCAAATTCAAGTGTTAATGCCCAATATATTTTATTCACTAATTATTCAAATGTTGGTATCAAATCTAGAAAAGATAAAAATAAATGTTATGACTTGTTGGAAATACTCGCAACTTCGTCTTCGATGTGACGAAACTTTCACACCTGCACAGTGTCGAATGATTTTGATTGACAGGACAAGCACGTGGACTTCGTGTGAACTTGAAGCAGAAAAATAAAAACGAGTAATACTGTCAAACAGATGGATATGATTTGTTGATAAAAAAAAGTTACTTTCACTGTCTTATATATTTAGAAAAAAATATCAGAGTTATTGTTTGATATAGGTGCAAACATTTAGTGAAGCCTGAAAGGAAGGGGGGGGGGGGGCTGAAACGGAATCTCTCTCTCTCTCTCTCTCATTTGTCTGTTTGATAAAAACTATAACAGCATATTACTTAAATATCAAGGTCTGAAAATTGAATTTATAACAAATAATATGAATATGTATCTTTGTATTATCTTGTCTGAGTATAATCACGGCCATCTACAGATACATGTAGAAGTCTGCTCAATAAATCATCATGAAAAATAGAAATGACACATAATATATTATTGTATTAAACATTTAAAATACGAGCGTATAAATGCAAAACGTCCACTGACCTTTGTAATTAATTTTTTTTATTACTCTACATGAAATCGCATTGACACGGAGATACATATATGAATGGATGTTACAATCGCTTTAATTCATTCTATAAGTCAGAAGTTTTCTCTGATTTGTTATCAAATAAGAATAAACATTTTTATTTTCCAACTAAAAAAATATCTTTTATACTTCAGCGTTCGGCAACAATTGCAATGTTTTAATGCGTTAAAAATCGTGTGATTAAAAACTTAATGTGCATGAATCGTCTTTCTTAGGACAATTTTGGAGAATTTATTTTATTTACTTATTTATTCATTCATTTATTGGTTTACTTATTTATTATTTTTTTTTTGGCACCTGACATTATAATACAATAAAATACTTTCAATGCAAGGAAAAGATCAGAGGCATTCCGAATATATCGTTCATCTTGCGTTCACCGTTCACTTTGCGTTCGCGTTTGCGCTCCGTTCGCGTTCTGTGTTCGCTCACCGTTCACCGTTCACACATCGTTCATCAAGTTGCGTTCAGCGTTCACACATCGTTCACTCACCTTTCGCTCTGCGTTCGTTCAGCGTTCGTTTACCGTTTGTTCAGCGTTCGCTCACCGTTCAAGTGGGAAAGTAGAACGTTTCAGGGACTGTACATACTGACTGACAAACCATAAAGAAACACTCATAATTGTATTCACAATCATCTATATCATATATTTATACTTATACTAATCAAAAAAACATAATCAGACACATTTGCATTTAAAAAAAATCCAAATCCAGTAATTGACTTTCTATAAACATGATGATGACCTAGTGATCAACAATCCATAAACACATGCATAACTGAACTACCCTAACAGGACTTCAAAAATGTTAGAACAATCTACAACAGTGACCCACAATCCATGAACAGACACAAATATGTATATATGACAGTGACCCAAAACCATGAGCATTCACATATATATATGAATAATATGTATGCATATACAAAATGTCTAAACTCAGAAACACAAAAAAAAGTCATGAACTACAGGAAAAATGTTAGAACAAACAATCTACAACAGTGACCCACAATCCATGAACAGACACAAATATGTATATATGACAGTGACCCAAAACCATGAGCATTCACATATATATATATATGAATAATATGTATGCATATACAAAATGTCTAAACTCAGAAACACAAAAAAAAGTCATGAACTACAGGAAAAATGTAAGAAAAAACAATCTACAACAGTGACCCACAATCCATGAACAAACAATCTACAACAGTGACCCATAATCCATGAACAGACAAGCCGTGAAGTAACACCAACTAAAACAAAGCAATACAAACACTCATTTTTCATAGACACAGTGATTATATGGAACCAACTTGACAAAGACACAGTGTGCGGAAAATCTGTTGAGGCCTTCAAGACCGCCCTCGCCAAGATTTGTCAATAACATCGATAGCGCCTCTCTCCCGTCGTATAAAAGCCAGTATTGGTTACCACAACATACCATATACAGATACAGATATATACACAAATGTCTACAACCAAAGACACAAAAAGTCATGAACAAACTAAAGGAAAAATATTAGAACACATAATCTATGACTGTGACCCACAATCCATGAACAGACACAAAAATGTATATATGACAGTGACCCAAAACCATGAGCATTCAAATATATATGTATGAATACATACACAAATGTCTAAACTCAAAGACACAAAAAGTCATGAACAAACTACAGGAAAAATATTAGAACACATAATCTATGACAGTGACCCACAATCCATGAACAGACACAAAAATGTATATATGACAGTGACCCAAAACCATGAGCATTCACATATATGTATGCATATACAAAATGTCTAAACTCAGAGACACAAAAGTCATGAACTACAGGAAAAATGTTAGAAAAAACAATCTACAACAGTGACCCACAATCCATGAACAGAAACAAACATGTATATATGACAGTGAACCAAAAACCATGAGCATTCACATATATATGTATGCATATACACAAATGTTTAAACTAGGGATGTCAACGAGTACCCGGTTAACCGGGTACTCGATTGAACGTCCGAGTATCGAATACTAAAAATGGTACTTGGTTTGTTTTCTTATGTTTTCTTATTTCAAAGTACATATTTTTATCAAAAACTTATCAAAAAATAACTTAAATATGCATATGGTAATTAGCTTGTCGTCATCTACACCTGTAAAACACATGTTATCGCCTGTGGTTGTATATATACGGTAATTATATAATGACCAATCATCTGGTACACAGCATTTTTAACACTTATTGTGGTCCTTAATTTTTGGATGGCTTCAATGATTGTTTTCAGTAAACAATAATAGTATGGTCTATTATCTTCTTAAATTATTTAATATACACATGTACGGCAGCGAAGTCAGACATGAATAAAAATGCCGCTACCCACTTCAAAAGTGAAGAAATATTTAGAAATAACTAAAGATTTTAAAAATGTTGAAAGTCAGTTTGCATACAAAGTTTAGTGGGAAACAACCAACATATGAAATAATAGTAGACTAGCGATCCCAACAACGTCCTTTCCTTCCCTTTCGCTAGTCTAACATCACAAACCTGCGTAACAGATTGTCTTCTTTTTTTTTGCGTTGATGAAATAGGTCCTAAACAAGAACTGTAAACCATTTGTAATTTTTGATGTATGAATTGTGTCTTTTGTGTTTATCTGATAAATAAATTTGGTACCAAAAAATCATTTCCCTTTGACTCAGTTGTTTACATACATTTATAAACGTGATAAAAACAGCTTTTGGATTTAACAGAGCTTAACCAGGCTCAAGAAAATTAACACACCTGTATTTTCATTTTTACCGAGTACCCGGGTACTCGATCTGAAAAACATCTGAGTAACCGATTATCAAAATTTGACCGATTTGACATCCCTAGTCTAAACCCAACGTTACACACACAAATCATAAACTACAGATAAATACTGTAAAATGTTATTACAATAACAGTGATCCACAATCAGACATATGTACAGGTTTATATGAAAGTGACCCACAAACTATGAACAGCTATGGGTCAACCACTAAACCAATATATGATTGATTCCTATCTCTCTGATTGGCTGAGATCTAACAATGTAAAACAAAAAAATATGTTGTTTTAACCTGCATGTGACCTCCCAGGTGAATATAAGGATTTATTTTCTCTACATTAGTCTAAAAATAGATCCAGAAATAGTTTTGGAAATATTTTCCTTGCACTGGACTTCCACTCAAGTGAACATAACATTAAGGAAAATATTATTTGGGGTGGGGGTGGTTGCGCAGGGTGTGGGGGGTGCAGGGAACCTCACCCAAAACACTTTTTTCTAAACATAAATGTTCACTTTTAATTTAGACTGAAAGGTTGATCCCACAATAATGGACCTTATTCCCCCCGGACTCCCACCCTAATACAAAATTTGAAGTTAAAATAATTTTCTTTTAGTGGGGGTTAGTCAAAGATTTTTTTTCAGCTGTCTTTTTTCCCTCATAATGCTCCCTCCTTTTCAAAATCTATCCTGTATAAAAGAGCCTGACATTTCCTTTTTTCATAGCAACTTAAGTCAATTAAAAATATTCCAAATGAATACAACTAGTAATTAACCCTGCTTCTCTTATCGTGTTTTGTATGGACTTCAACAAATGTAAACAAGTAAGATGGCATGTACTGCTTAATGAGTTGTATCATTTAATCACTGAATCATATAATAAAACAATTATTGCTGTTTTTTCGGTCAATACGATGATTTATCCACCTTCAAAGTACAATATTCACCTGAAGGGAAAAAAAACAGCAATAATTGTGTAATGTTTGTCTCCTGGAGAATGTAAATACACAATTCAAGCTTTGATAACTTCAATAGTATTTTTCACTTTATACTGCAGAGTATACAAAAGCTTAATTTTGATCGGGATTGAGTTCCATAAATATTAATGCTTATAATAATATAATAATATATAATAATAATAATAATAATATAATACTGAAAAGGACAAGCATGAAAAATACGATCTGTATCTAGCAATTTGAAAATGATTTTCCTTCTTATTAAGCAGGCATCATGGAATTTCACAGAATGTTGCATATTGCATAACAAACTTTAACCAACTATGCATTGCAATGTTCATTATAGTGTACCAGCAACATTTATTGACAATTAGAAAGGGATTAAAAAACTTTTTTGAGACAGTCTTGTGACCTTTTGTTTGGGGAATTTTATGAAAAAAATGTATGAAATTGGGAAGTTATATTTTGGTAGAAGGCTAACTGCTCATGATAATCATACAAACAATATGCCTGCTAGATGTTCAGGAGTAAGGAAGAAACTTTTTGTAGATCACATAAATCTTTATGGTTTTGGACCCATCCCTCAGCCCCCATGGATGCAGGGATCATAAAATTAACAATTTTTGTTTTTCTTTATCAAAAGATGCCAAATACTCAAATTGGTTGAAAATGGTTCAGCCATTTCATAGAAAAAGATGTCATTGTCAGAGAGATCCTATAACATCTCAAGGATAAAGACTGATTAAAAAGTTGTGACAAAATATAAGTGGAACAACAAAGAAATAAGTAACACATTACCTTCACTGATGATAGTTCCTTCCAGACAATGCTGATGCTACTATCATTAGAATCTTCTACATAATATTCTGAAAAAAAAAATATGTAGAACAATCAGTTTTCAGATGGGATCATCTCAAGGAGAGATCATGGATCTACACTATGTGGTACATGCAAAACTGAATTCTTTTCAATTGAAATCCTTAAGTCATGTGTTATTAAAAATTTCCATACTTCAAAATAAAAATAATACCAATATTAGTCTTTGGAATCTGTGGGTCATGTACATGTGCTGCAACAGGGTTTTCATCATCCTGTGGAATGTGTGGTATATGTTCATTTGTTGCAACAAGGTCTTCATCCTTCTGCGGAACATGTTCATGTGCTGTAACTGGATCCTCATCAGTTTCCACCTCCAGACGGTTCTCTGTAATATATGCAACAAGAATTTATTGGACTTAAGAGTTCAGTTTACAAGTTGTGTTTGTAAGAGTCTTCATACAATTCTAAGTATAGTAACAAATACCTGTGCTAAGCTGTGCAAGATATGATGCAACATGGTCCTTGTCATTCTGTGGAACATGTTCATGTGCTGTAACGGGATCTTCATCACTTTCCACCTCCAGACGGTTCTCTGTAATATATTCAAACAAGAATTTATTGGACTTAAGAGTTCAGTTTACAAGTTGTGTATTGTAAGAGTCTTTATACAATTCTAAGTATAGTAACAAATACCTGTGCTAGGCTGTGCAAGATATGCTGCAACAAGGTCCTTGTCATTCTGTGGAACATGTTCATGTGCTGTAACTGGATCCTCTTCAAGTGATCCATCAGTTTCCACCTCCAGACGGTTCTCTGTAATATATTCAAACAAGAATTTATTGGACTTAAGAGTTTAGTTTACAAGTTGTGTATTGTAAGAGTCTTCATACAATTCTAAGTATAGTAACAAATACCTGTGCTAGGCTGTGCAAGATATGATGCAACATGGTCCTTGTCATTCTGTGGAACATGTTCAGGTGCTGTAACAGGATCTTCATCAGTTTCCACCTCCAGACGGTTCTCTGTAATATATTCAAACAAGAATTTATTGGACTTAAGAGTTCAGTTTACAAGTTGTGTATTGTAAGAGTCTTTATACAATTCTAAGTATAGTAACAAATACCTGTGCTAGGCTGTGCAAGATATGCTGCAACAAGGTCCTTGTCATTCTGTGGAACATGTTCATGTGCTGTAACTGGACCCTCTTCAAGTGATCCATCAGTTTCCACCTCCAGACGGTTCTCTGTAATATATTCAAACAAGAATTTATTGGACTTAAGAGTTTAGTTTACAAGTTGTGTATTGTAAGAGTCTTCATACAATTCTAAGTATAGTAACAAATACCTGTGCTAGGTTGTGCAAGATACGCTGCAACATGGTCCTTGTCATTCTGTGGAACATGTTCATGTGCTGTAACAGGATCTTCATCAGTTTCCACCTCCAGACGGTTCTCTGTAATATATTCAAACAAGAATTTATTGGACTTAAGAGTTCAGTTTACAAGTTGTGTATTTTAAGAGTCCTCATACAATTCTAAGTATAGTAACAAATACCTGTGCTAGGCTGTGCAAGATATGCTGCAACAAGGTCCTTGTCATTCTGTGGAACATGTTCTTGTGCTGTAACTGGATCCTCTTCAAGTGATCCATCAGTTTCCACCTCCAGACGGTTCTCTGTAATATATTCAAACAAGAATTTATTGGACTTAAGAGTTTAGTTTACAAGTTGTGTATTGTAAGAGTCTTCATACAATTCTAAGTATAGTAACAAATACCTGTGCTAGGCTGTGCAAGATATGCTGCAACAAGGTCCTTGTCATTCTGTGGAACATGTTCTTGTGCTGTAACTGGATCCTCTTCAAGTGATCCATCAGTTTCCACCTCCAGACGGTTCTCTGTAATATATTCAAACAAGAATTTATTGGACTTAAGAGTTCAGTTTACAAGTTGTATATTGTAAGAGTCTTTATACAATTCTAAGTATAGTAACAAATACCTGTGCTAGGCTGTGCAAGATATGCTGCAACAAGGTCCTTGTCATTCTGTGGAACATGTTCATGTGCTGTAACGGGATCCTCTTCAAGTGATCCATCAGTTTCCACCTCCAGACGGTTCTCTGTAATATATTCAAACAAGAATTTATTGGACTTAAGAGTTTAGTTTACAAGTTGTGTATTGTAAGAGTCTTCATACAATTCTAAGTATAGTAACAAATACCTGTGCTAGGCTGTGCAAGATATGATGCAACATGGTCCTTGTCATTCTGTGGAACATGTTCATGTGCTGTAATGGGATCTTCATCACTTTCCACCTCCAGACGGTTCTCTGTAATATATTCAAACAAGAATTTATTGGACTTAAGAGTTTAGTTTACAAGTTGTGTATTGTAAGAGTCTTCATACAATTCTAAGTATAGTAACAAATACCTGTGCTAGGCTGTGCAAGATATGATGCAACATGGTCCTTGTCATTCTGTGGAACATGTTCAGGTGCTGTAACGGGATCTTCATCACTTTCCACCTCCAGACGGTTCTCTGTAATATATTCAAACAAGAATTTATTGGACTTAAGAGTTTAGTTTACAAGTTGTGCAAGTGTTTTCCTACAATTCTGAATATATTAACAAATACTTATGATAGGCTATGCAAGATATGATGCAAAAATTACAATTCTAAATTGCTCTCTGTACTGCATGCAGGAGAGAATTCATTGTGATTTTCGTTTGTATTGGTAAACCATTTGATTTTAAAAACATTCACTGACAGAGGTATTTACCTTTTTTACTTTTCAACTCAAATGGGTCATCATCATCTGCATCATTATCAAGCTCTGTAATAATTTTAAGCAAAATTAGTCAAAAGTTTGTATAAAACATACTTCTGGTAAAGTATCAGTGCTGCATCGTATGTTTGCTAAAGTATCAGTGCTGCATAGTATGTTCACTCTGAATTTTGGAAACATGGTGTGTTTATACTAGGGATGTCTAAATGTGTAAATTTTCTGGTCAATTATTCAGTAGCTTTTGTCAAAGAATATTGGATTATTGTAGGCGAACATTTTTCCGTGTGGGATTAAATTACGCTATGAATGCAGTCACAAATTTTGACTGTTCATCAAAATCAATTACTTCTATCTTCTGAAATAACTTGTGAACACGTGTCAGCATAATATCAAAATGAAGATAAATAATGTTGCTTTTTTACTCGAGAAAAAATCTCTGATTGCACAAAGCCTTGGACAAGGGTTTCTGTTTGAACTGACTTTGAAATTGACCAGCTACCCCACGCAAATGCACTTCTGTGTTGATAAAAGTGTAGACTGTAGTTGTGATTTCAGACTGCATTTCCGATCCCCCCTCTTTTTAAATCGCAAATGAATCTGATCTGCATACCACTCAGGAAATTTATTCTTCATATATTTTTTTTATTTCATTATATCCAGCAAAATCAAAGCTGGTGGAACGTACCACATATGTATGTTTTCCAAGTCTTTTGATCATTGTGCTCATGAAGCTGATGTTCTTTGGAAGCATCAAATATGCACAGGACAGGCATATTCAAGTGACACAATGGTAATTTATCTCTCATATTTTCAATATATTAGGGTACTGTATTTTTTTGTAATGTTTACTTATGAATACATGTAATTTTCTACTCGGGGATTAAACAGATTTTGTGATTCCATGGAATTATGACCCCATGGAAAAAAGTATGTTTACAGTATTCAAACTTTTTATTTACATACTACCACTGTTACAGTAATGTTCCCAGTTTAATGAATAAAATATATTGGCCAAATTAATTTACCGATGCATATACATGCGTGCAAAGTTCTACATTATACGAGGGCTGTTCGGAAATTATTGAGACATTCTGTATATTTTCCTTTCTAATGAACGTCTTTCGGTGAAAATTTGCACATACGTTTAACAAACATTAAGAATTCATAAAAGCAAGAAATATTTTACAAATATTAAATTTCTTTTCTTCAACTGTATATAAATGTGTCAATGGTAGGGGTACCCGGCGCAGTCACAAAATCAGATAATGAAAATATGTAACACCAATGTTCAACATGTGGACCCATAATAAGAACGAAAATAATTCAATTTATGTATATAATTTTTTAATTTTATTTTGACTTCATCTTGTGCAAGTTTGTTAGAATTCTGATCAGAAATATGGAGATCATTAAAAAAATTAAGCACGGTAAAGAAATCTGATAACGACGACAAAATGGATTTTGACGTCAAGGCAGAGCAGCAAGAGATCTAAAATTTTGTGTAGCACTATGTAAAACTCCTTTCCAGACTGACCAACCTGCTAAAACAATAATGAGAAAAAAACACGTCTAAGGGTTTGTTCCATGTATTTCATTGGTATATATTTTTTTCTAACCTATAATTCAACTACAGTAAAATCAAAAGCTCCGGACGACCACCAATTTTTACCATAACGAAATTAATAACATTGACCTGCATTGCATAAATCAGCACTGCATGATGCTAAGTCATCCTGTGTAAATGATGCATGAAAAATTTACAATAGAAAAGCAACAGCACACATTTTCTAAAGAATCGTTTAAGAAAAGAGACAGTTTGATTTTTGTAGGGTATATAATTATGCTAACAAAGAAAGAAGAGTAAACGCTTCCCGAACGTTTCACACGCAAAATCATCTCCAGCTGACGTGAAGTTAAAATGACGTAGCGATGCTGCTCCAGGTCAATAGACATATGCATGTTTATTATTTCACCAGAACTTATCTAATTATCCTTTAAATTAGAAATTTTGTATAATTCTTTCATTCGTTCGATATAAAATGTTGACGAATTTTCCTGAAATTATCTCTGCCCTTTATGGAGTTAAAGTAATTGTCTCAATAATTTTCGAACAGCCCTCGTACATGTAATGAAAGCTATTTCAATGCATGTTGTCAATAATGAGTAGAAATTTAAAATGCTATTGATGTTTCTTTACATAAAATAAATTAAAATATCATACTTTCATGTAAATTAGTTGAATCTGATTTGTTGAGAAACATTTGTTAAAAAACCCTTTTACCCCCTGAATGATGAAACCACACCCTCCAATGATGAAACCACACCCTCCAGTGCAGCAACAGTCAAACATTGCTTCATGAGGAGTGATATTCAAAAAAAAATATCGATGTGCAGAATTTATGCACACGTGGTACAGTTTTATATTTATTCAGTATAATATAAATAAATAAATATAGCATGTAGTTGAGGGCAACATAAAAAAATTTTCAGCACTCGAAAACCCTTGTAAAATTGCTAAACACTTGATTTTGGCGGCATTTTAAGCTTTTTAAAAAGACAAAATGGATCCGATTGAATTCAGAAGAAAGACACTGAGTAAGCTTCATGAAGAAAATGGTGGATCAAATGTATGCATATAATTCAGTCAAATTAACTGGTATATGTGCAACTTTTTGACTGTTCAAATTAAAAAAAGAAGTCAAACATCTATGGTATCAAAGAAAAATCAAATATTTGTTGACATCCCTAGTTTATGCACACAGGCATACTGTAAAATTAAAATTACCATATTTCTGCAGCTATTGCATCATTATTGAAAGAAGATAATTATCCAATAATCAATATACTTTTAATAGGTTGTGAAGCTTTGATAATGTTGCTAATATCTATATATATACAATTACCTATTTAAGATTAGGATATAAATATTGTATCACTCTAGTTATTTTGTGCATTCAACAAGTACAACAAAATGAACTTTCTCAGTATGAATCAAAGAGGAAATGAAATGAACATGAATACTAACCATAAACTTAAGAGTGTTGAATTAACAAATAAAGCAAGAAAAAGAAATCCAAAATATTCATTTTAAAACCAGTTTCTTCTCCCCACAATACGCATACATCACATTAACAGTAACTGCTTTTGATAGCTTAACATGCCCAAGATACAGAAAGTGAATATTAGGTGGACATCATTCAGTAGATATGAAGACATGGAGCAAATTCTTACATTTGATCTTGACCTGACATGGCTGGGCTCTGACAGACATCTGCATTTCTTCACTGTACATTTAAAACTTAACAATGAACAGGATTTTAGAGTAACAGAGTTCATATAAATCACACTTAAGACAACCTTCACCTTAATACTACATGACAAGATCATAATTCTGCATTTCACTATAGTATGTACCGGTACTCAAAACATGGCACAGTCCATGCAAATTTGGTCCAGTAATAGTCTATACTTACTTTAGAAATGAATTCAATAGCTACCCACGTTATACTGTATAACCTGGGTTGGGACAGTTTAAGCTTTATGAACCGTGAAGTATAAAATTTGGTAGCTATTAAATTTTATCCTTATAATTTAATTTTCCATCTTTAAATCAAGAAAATAAGACAATTTCTCCTTCAAAAATGTCTTCGAATTGTGCATATTTCAAATGTAACGTCAAGCAAATTAATACATTTTTGACGTAAGTCATTGTGACGTAGGCAACACAGGTTATACAATATAAATTAAGTTTTTATCCAATCAAATGATGCGTTACAAACGAAATTAAATTATTTCGAAAAAGATCTGCCCCAAAAAACTTAACCCTAGTCACACAAAAAACTATTCTAATTATTATTAATTGTATATTAGTATTGCATATATTAATTTATATAACAGTATATCATGTATACATATATATATATATATATATATTAAAGATTTGCATTTGTGGGGAGATGTATTGAACAAAATAACTCATTAACACAACAGTCACCTGGTTTTTGCTGCTTCTATTAAACAATAAATATGTTTTGATATAACCTGTAAGGTATGCAAATTCCAAGTCTGCGCATAAAATGCCAGTTCAAAGCTTGAGCCTTGTACAATTGTTGTCATGCTTGTGAAAAGTTAACCAGAACATGCTAACTGGTTCATTAATTAATATTGCTACTGAGCATAACTGCATCATGTTAAAATAACTTGATAAAAATTGAGATATCCAATGATTAGAGATATCCAGGGTAAAATACTTAAGGAATAATGGGTTGGGACTTCCAAATCACTTCTACATATCCAAAGTATTCAAGATATCAGTGTTTGAGAGACCAAATTTCAACTGTACATAATGTAAACTTCTATTCTTGCAGCTTTACAAAGTTTTTTTCGTATGTTGTTTAAAGTCCTCCTCGAGAATTTTTCACTCATTAGGAGACGCCACCATTTGCCGCTAGAGAGCTGTAAATTTTGTCCTATACTCAGCACTTACGGTCATTGAGCAGTGAGGAATATTTTTCGTGCCAACACCTACTGCGACACAGGACCTTGGTTTATATGGTCTTATCCGAAGGACCGGTCTCCACGTTCCACAGTGGGATTCAAACCCGAGACATAAGGATTAACTTCTTACTCCATGACTCTAGAGCAGACGCTCTAACCACTAACCACGCGGGCGACCCTTTACAAAGTTATGGCCAGGAAAAGACTTTTACATTTAAAAATGTTTTTTAATTAAAAAAAAGACTGTTTAAAGTGGCTGGTTCAGGTTAAGAAACACTCCGGTCATGAGCAACCTTTGCTTTAAGTTTGAACTTCTGATGTTTTTCCATTACAAAGTTATTGCCCAGACACAAATTTAACAACTTTTCTGCTAGTGACACTGATCTTGCCCAAATGAACTTTGTTCAACCTTTTCGTCCAGTATGAGCTTCCAATTTCTCTCCATTGCAATGTTATTAACCCTGTCACAATTGCAGGGAAGACAGATGGACAAGTGACTGTTATAACCCCCAACCTTGTTTGAAGGTGGTATAATGATTACTTAATTTTTGTATTTTCCCAATTTTAATATATTGTCAATTTTACCCATTTCCAAAGGTCCTAGTCCCATTACAAGAACATTGAAAAAAAAAAAGCACTGCAAAGATGATACAGCATGTAAAATTGGAAAATCCCTTATTCTAAATATTTACCTGATGTCTCCAAGAAAGATTCTCAATTGAATCGCCATAATCATAGCGGATCTCCTCTCCTTTTTTAATATTCCTTCTAGCAAAAAGGCAAAGCCTTGGGTAATTATTCACTACTTTTAACTTCATAACAGCATTGTTTTCTGGATCATCTAAAGCTGCATCGTTGACATATCTGCCAAGCCTTTGAAAGCTTTCAGATGCATCAATGCTTGTAAAATGATAATGAAAACAATATGTAGAGAAAAAGTTAAAAGTTACATATAAACAAAAGAACTCATATCAGGGTTCTCCACATTTGAACATTTAACCATGGAGGAAGCTGCGTGAAGGCGAAATGTGACCAAATTAAAACAGGAATGCATGTTAGACTTTCTAACATGCAAGTAGTTTTGCTTTCTCTATTCTGTTTTTCTTAACATTCCTTTTTCTACATATTGCATTTTTGCAGAGTTTCCTCCATTGTTTACTTCTCCATGTGCCCCAGTGCTAAAAATAGCACCATGCCATGTTTCAAAAAAAAAAAACGGGAGGTACATGTAACTCTAAAACTTAGACAGCAATTGGAACTTATGTACATCATCAGAAATATAATAAAGTTAATACTTAAAAACAGAACATGGGGAATTGATTAAATACAAATGAATAGGAAATTGTAAAAGGGTTATTTTTTCTGGGCACACAAACTTGAATCGGATCTTGTTGGTTATCATGTTGTGTTTCCTTTGTAAATCTGCTGTTATCTTATTATGGTGAACATGTTGGAATTCCCCGCAAGTACATGTGTACAGGAAAATTTACTCTCAAGATATTAATCGTTAGCTGATTGACTCTCTATTGTCATACTTCACAGCATAGTCGCCGATCAACGACCATGTTTGTTTAGCTCAGCTCCGTCCACTTTCTCTCGAGGTGCATGTAGTATAAACACAATTAATAACTCAAGTTATTGAAAGTAGGTGTCAATGCTGAAATGCAATAAATATCAAATCATGGCGGCCACCGATTTTGACCATGGCACAGCTCATTTAACCACTGCGCAAATAAATTTTACCATGATGGGCCGCCATGGTAAAACCCCCTGTGGAGAACCCTGTCATATGAAATATTAGGGCTGCAGGAACATACACATGTTATGCATTAATACATATCACAATATAGTGGTCACAATATATGAATCACTATGTATTTTTCAAAAAAAAAAAAGAACTGAAGTAGCAGCGGACATTCAAAAAGTAGAAGGGGGTTTGGGGTTCCTCTCCTAACTTGGGGTTGAGGAAGAATACTACAGTAACCGGGGGATAATGTCATTATAGGAGGGGAAATTCCCTGGCCCCTGGTCTTAAGGACAACACTGCAATAAGAACTAAAATAACCTGTGTCACTGTAAATTGACCTTTATTAATCTGATCAAGGTCAAATCTTTACTAAGGACAAAATAATGACCTACAAAATATTTCAATTTGGTGTGATTAAACAGAAAAATAAGTATATGTGGAGGTATTTATATTTCATCATTGATTATATATACACAGTAAAACTTGTGTATATTGGCCATCAATGGTTTCATAAGATTTTGCCAGATTAGAGAACAAGTTAAAGAATTGGAGAGTGTTACGCAACATAATTATGAAATATTTGGAAACTATATATTTCATCGGAAAGCAAAACATACTGAAATGCATTTCATCTGATTTAAGTGCACATGCATAAATCAATTGAATATGCTGTTTCAGGGTTTATACTGAAGTCAGAACTAGGGTTGGATACTGTTAAGGATGAAACGGTACGATACCATACCGATATTTTTGAAACGATACGGTATTTTTAACGGTACGGTACTATACCTTGATGAATGAGAATGAGGGTTCATTTCATAACAAATGTATGCTTTCAGTAAATCACCAACCTTTCAATGTTATGACCCAGAATGAGCTTATAAACTATATTTATATTTCAACCTTTTAATAAATGATCAACAAAACAAATAAATTGAATCTCAAACAAATTAATAATCACAAGTATACACAACTTCCATGGTTGCTAGGACCCATCTTGTTTGGTCGCACTAAACAAAGAAACGTTAGAAAATGGATAGAAATGCACATCACATTTTTGCGACATTTTGCCTTTTTAATTTACATTTTATATTATCAGTTTTATTAATTAAATTGAAACACGATTAATTTGAATGTATTTAATTTTTTTATAAACAAAAATATATGTACTGATTTACCTCGAATATCGGCAGTCAAAAGCAAGTGTCGGACAGTCATACTAAGCATCCATTTCGTTACTTAGCCTACCCTTTCAATGTGCGGAGAATTAAATTTTAGCGAGTTTTAAATCATTTTGAATGTATTAAAATGTTTCAAAGATTAAAAAAACAATATACCCCCGGGATCTTTCGATCCGGGGCCATAAAAATTGTACCGTTATTAGTACCGGTATTAAATGAAACGGTTTTTCACGTGTTTTTTTCAGTAACTATTCGGTATGGTATTGGTACCGAGTACCGGTCCAACCCTAGACAGAACAATGTTGGATTTGGTTCAAAGTTAATGCACGTCTATCCCTTGATTACATACTTCTTTGACTTATACTGCAATTGACTTTCAGAGCACGAAAGAAACTAAGTTTATTCTTTTATACCTACCAACGCATTCCATTCCACTTAAAATAATAAACGTAGCAGTGACCCCTCTTCTTCCTTTTCTCTCTTTCTTCTGCTTCTTCTGGAGTAATTCTTTCTCCCACATACTCCAAAAGAAAACTACCCTTTGAAAACTGCTGGGTGGTAAAAACACCAAATCCTTCAAATAAACATTTTGAAGAAAATTAAATGGAAATACAGACAGAAATACTTACTAATACTTGTTCAATATTAATAAATACATGCTATGATATCACTAGTAATCCAGAGTATCACTCGCAAAGTTGATGAAAAATTGAAATGATGTTAATTTGCATATAGTACACAAAAAAGACAAAATGAAGACACCCTTTGTTCTGTAATTAGGAGAGTAATTCTATTTACTGGGTAATTATAGTTAGTTATACATATATAAATACTGGGTGTTTCAACAAACATGTCCCAACTTTTGCTGTCTATATTTTTGCACAACAATATAATATTTACAAAATTATAACTGTATGTTATAGCAAATTTCCGGCAATATAATTGTGATATAAATAATATGAAATAACATCATTATATTTTTTCCACTGAATTTTGATTACTTCTTCAAAAATCAGGTTGTCAGATTTTTTTCTCTAAAAATGGATCTATGGATGTTTTTGAACTGAACAATACAAACAGAAAATCTCCAAAATCACCAATACCAGTGCATAAGATTTTGAAAAAAGAAGTACATGTACTCATATGAAAACTATCTTTCTAAGAAACAGACTTCAAATGATGTCAAAATATATGCCATACAGGACTTCAAAGACAAATTGAGGACGCTAACTTTACAACATTGCAGCTTTTTGCAACACATAAAAATGACGTTAAATTGAAAACTGCTGCTGATGTTCAAACTTTAAAAATGCCTGTTTTAAAAAGTAATTGATTCAGCATTACTTCAAATTTCATATTGAAAAAATTGTTTTGTTATGTGGTTTTCATTTTTGCAAAAATTTTGTCACATTAAAGAGGCTGGGGGGTTGTGGCCATTTTTAGACTATATTGATCTCCTTTAGAAGAAGAGCTCCATATGAAGATATAGAAAATGATCAAATTTTAAAACTAAAATTTTTGAAATTTTTCTTTGCCAAATGATAGTTGACAGCTTAAGATATCATATCTAAAAAATTAAGTTAAATCTGGTGGTTAATTTATGGTTAATTTGTTGACCCCCCAGCATCCTTAATACTGTGTAACTTTATACTGAAACCGCAAAGCCAGGCCATGTTTGCTGAAACACCCTGTATATCATATTACATACTAGTGGAACAGTCAACTACAAAATACTTTACAAACTCATTGATAAATATTATTAAATTTTGTTAGCATATACAGATGTAGAGCACCAAAATTCAGAGGTGTACAATAAAACAAATATTAATCTCTAGTCAAAGCTAGCACAGAGCACAAAATCTCTGGCAAAAAAATTTAAAGTGTTCAATTTTTCAAACTGGGCCACATGATTTTCCTCAAAATAAAAACATATACAGTGCGGTCTTGTTATTACGATGTTCATTTTGTCACGGGAAAATATCGTAATACCGAGGGCAACGTAATAAAAGTTCCCAATAAAATCCATTAAAACATCGTTTTGAAAGTTTGTTATTTTTGTGGAAGGTATTTTTGCCCTTTTGTTCCCTTCTTCTGTTCTAATTCCTAATCAAAACGCTAATACATATATAATTTATTAACAACTTATCTTGAATAGATATCTTCATGGTGATATTTCTTCTATTTCTTTCATTTTAAAAGAAATATGTATATTTCTTATAAAAACTTCGGCGATCTATCGGATCTTCATTTATCTACCGCCATTTCCTTACTTTTACTTTCGTTTCTGACTCTGTAGATAATGCGTTCGTAAAAAAATTCAACAAGCTGTCTTCGTATTCAATTTATAGTCGTTTACTACATAACAACAACAATTTTTAGTGAGCTTTTGGGTGTTCAATGAGCTTAGAGCAGCAGTGAACAACTGATAAAAGAGTGTGACTGGCATATTTAAAGACGGAATTTGACAACGTACAAGCTATATGTCAAAATAAATTTAATTTTTTAAATTACTGAACAGAGTTCAATTAGCAGTTCAGCAATTATCGATTTGTATTTCTGCTGACACCTGTGAGGTAATCCAAGCCACAATCAAAGCTGTTAAAACGTAAGTGAAGTTCAAATTTGGCCAAAATTATGTTTGATACCCAAGCTGTCCATTACCGCAATTTAATTGCAAACGAAATTACACAGTACGTGTTTTATATACATGCACAAGATTAAATGTAACCTTTTATTTAATAAATTAATTTTATTTATTAACCAAAGTATAAAAGATAAAATAAACTTTACAGACATAGATAAACTAGAGACTACGTTTATAAATAAACAGTTTAAATTTAATTGTTTAACAATGGCTTTGACACGATGTCTCCAGTTCTGCTGACCTCGCTAGAACAGTCAAGGTGTGTGCAGTCAAGCGTCACTAATCACCTAACGGCCCTGCAAGTTAACACTCTGTCAGAGCACAGGTGTTTCAATGTTTATTTAGCATCTCCTTAAGTGTCTACCGTCGATCAACACTGAATAAACACGGAGTGAAAAAAAATTTTGGACAGAATTTTTACATCGTAATACCGAGTCCCGGCATTTTAGGACATCGTAATAAACGGTTCTATTTTGTATAGATTTGTTAAGAAATGGTTTTGTGCTTTGAATTTACAACGTAATAAGCGTTCTATCTTATAAAACCGTCACCGTAATAACGAGACCGCACTGTACAACTAAAAAACTTTAATGATGTTTCGAAGGAAATTTAGGATCAAATGGAGTTTACAGACAAAGACTGAAAGAGTCCCTTTACTGTAAAACATTAGGTTGTGATTCTGTTTAATTATCAACTACCCATGTTGACAGGTCAATATTTGACAGGTTAACAATTGACCTTCAATCAGAAAAAATTTTTCACAGAGCCTTTGGTACAGGTGAGATAAAAAAAGTTACTATTTTGATAAGAATAACCTACAGTTCTACAAATAGTTCAAAATGTATTTCCTACCAATTTTTCTGTCAATTAGTTTTTTTTGAAATCCATCTTGATCCAGCCCACTCTCACACCAAAATTTGAGATTCTCTGCTGGGGAAAGTCTTTGTTTCTAAACAAGTGGAAATGATACTATACAATTATGAATTTCAGTTTAGGTTGATATGTAGTTATAAGGATCCGTGTCAAGTGATATTGACTAAAGACATATAGTGACCAAGCTTGCAAGTTAATGCCAAATGTTAACATCTCACATTGAAAGTTTCGAATATTGTGAACAAAAAAGAAAACTTGACTGTCCAGAACTTAGTAATTCAAGCAATACTCTTGAATAATTTCTAGACTCCAAAAATATCGAATAATTTTATCATTTTATTAATATATTTTCCAAACAAATGTATTGTACTTGTAAATAATTTAAACAACATAAATTTCAAAGAGTTTCCTGCATTTTTCGTGCACTATCAATTCTGTCTAATCTGGCAAAATTGTATGGAATAGGCAGAATCTGGTTTGGACATATTATACTGTACTTACCTTCTTGGACTGCTGCTCTAAGATACTTTTCAGCAGCTTATGAAAGGAAATCAAATTATAAAACTTAATAATATTTTGCAATCTAGACTATAAAACAACTATTGTACATCATGTAGTTTTACTTTGGAGAATCTCAGACCCATTAGGGACTAAAATTAACCTGAGGCCAACATTTTTTTATTAAATGATTTATTGCAATTTTTTTTTAAAAATTGGGAGGGGGGGGGGGAGATAAATAAAAATAAAATTCATATTTTACATAGTCAACTAAAACTAAAATTGAAAAGAGTGTCTGAATTTCTTATTTTCAATTATTCAATAAAAATTGCCATAATTATATATAAATACGGTGTGGAGCTTAAAATATGATAACTGCAACACAAAAATTAAAGTAGACTATTACACCCTTATGAGAAATGGGGGAAATATAAGGAATTTCTTATCAAAATATTTAACATGACCATGACAAGATGACCAAAGAAAAAAAGATTATAAACATGATAAAGAGAAGCTTACTATGCTCAAATTAAGGGGTGGGACGATATACCGATACATATCAATATTTTCTAAGATACTGTTTATGATACATGCATTGATATGTTGGTAAGAAACGATACACGAAGGACTAAGGCTGAGATGATTCACCAAAATATTGATATTGTTCAATATTACTGCTGGGTTCACTATCTCGATTTTTGGTTCGTTACGTTTTTTTTATAATCCAGTTTGGTTACTCCTTGATATAGATCAGGTTTGACCTTATTTTAATAGTTTGACACACGAGGGAGAAAATTTCGTCGGAGAAAGTTTCAGAGCAGGCTGCCACTGTTAGTATTAACACAAACAAAGTGCTCTTTTAATCTACAGAAGCACAAGTAGTGCTCTTTATTGTATCACCACCTTTTACTTGAAATCTGAATACATGTTTTCCATAACTTTATGATTTGTTTCTTCTTTAAAATGTATTGTATTGAAAAAAATTGAATTGTGACACAAGTATCGCGATACGTACCGTATTGTGGAGGGGGCGTATGGTTTCAGCCCTATGAATAACCTATCAAAAATTTGAAATTGAAAGTAGTTTTCTTTGGAAAATGGTGGCTTGTACGAAGCAAAGAGATGATATTCATATTGAAAACATGTTTTAGATCTAACTAGATATCATTGAGATGGTGGCCATCAAACATTGCCATGAAAATCACGAGTGCTCCATACCCTCTATCAAAAAACAGCACAAAAATCACGAATGTTGCATATCCTCTATGAAAATTGTTGCATATCCTCTATCAAAATATGGAAGGAAGATCACAAATGTTCTGTACCCTAAGTCATTTGGTAAAGTTTGAGGCTGACTGGACTTAAGAGAAAGAAATTATGCACCTAATGAAGATTTTAAACACAGAGGTTATTTTTGACCTTGACCCTTGACCTAGAAACACATCCA